GGGCTCCGGCTGCGCTGGAGAAGTGCCCGGCCGGGGGCGCAGGGTCTGGAGGTCTGGGGGTTGCCTGGCAAACCGTGAAGCCGGTAGCGCTCGGGCAGCTGTTTCAAGTGGCTGGGAGGGAGGAGGGGGAATGTGGGGCGCTCAGGGGAGGGGGCAGAGTTGGGGTGGGGACTTTGGGGAAGGGGGCAGAGTTGGGGCAGAGAAGGGGCGGGGTTGGGGTGGGGGCGGGGCTGGGGAAGGGGAAGGGGCGGGGCCAGGGCCCCGTGGAGTGTCCTCTTTTTTTAATGTTTAAATATGGTAACCCTACGCAGTTCTTCCTCAGACAAAACACCCATTGGTCTAATATCCAGCATCCACAGGCTCCCATAACTGATACATGAAGTCCAGGAAGCCTTTTGCCTGGGAGCATTTCATGTTTAGGCACAGTTTGAGGTCTGACATCCAGCTGCAGTTAAAAATGCTCCCAGAGCCAAGTGGCTGGCTTGCTTTGAGGCATAGTACTCTCGCCTGGAGACAGGAGTGGTGACAAACCCTGCCTTCTGGTGCACCTCACTGGGAAGGCAGGTATGTGTGGCTCACGAGCTCTTTCCACTGATTTGGCTCCGATTGTGCTAGATGCAGCTGTTTCAGTGGCCGTATTTGGTGCCTGAACTACCCAACACAAACTCTTTATTATAAAGGGTTTTTTGTTTGTTTGTTTTCCCCTTCCCATTTTTTTCCCCCTACTAAAACAATTGATGAAACTGCCACAAATTCATGAAGTATTTTGGTATCACCAAGTCTGCATTTTTCACCAGAAAAAGGTTTTGACTGAAAAATTTCACCCAACTCTAACCCTAAATTAAATTGTTATAATTTCCGCATGTAGAAAAGACTTCTTCTAGCGCCGCTGCTTTTCTACTGCTTCTTACGGCCTTGTAACTTGTTCTCATTCACTCCTGAGCCTATTTATTCTATTTAATCAGCTCTAGAGCAGTGTTTTTCAAACTGGGGCCGCCGCTTGTGTAGGGAAAGCCCCTGGCAGGCCAGGCCGGGTTGTTTACCTGCCGCGTCCGCAGATCCGTCCGATCGCGGCTCCCATTGGCCGCGGTTCGCTGCTCCAGGCCAATGGGAGCTGCTGGAAGCAGTGGCCAGTACGTCTCTTGGCCCGCGCCGCTTCCAGCAGCTCCCATTGGCCCGGAGCAGTGAACCGTGGCCAGTGGGAGCCGTGATCCGCCGGACCTGCGGACGGGGCAGGTAAACAAACCAGCCCGGCCCACCAGGGGCTTTCCCTACACAAGCGGCGACCCCAGTTTGAGAAACACAGCTCTATAGTGTATATCTTCCATTTGATACAAGTTACCACTGTCCTGAGAAAACCCAGAATAATCTACTGATGTGCCTTCAGACTGTCTTGTTTACAAGCCAATGGTGCTGCTTGCTTAGTCCTGTTTTTAAAAATCAATCACGTTAGGGGAAAAAAATCCTCTGCTTAGAAGACTGTGGAAAACAGCCCTAAAAATAATCTTACCATGTGTTTGGAGACACTGACAAAAATAAGTCTCCTTATCTCCAATTATAGCTTCTAGAGTTAATGGCTCTCTCCATAGTTCAGTTATTAAGCAGCTAGTGAAACTGCAGTTTATCACACAGGAGTTAACGCATTAAAAATTCCATGGGTGCCTTGAACTGCTACCTTAATTTAGTCCAGAAGCTCTGTGGTCTAGTAAAGATTTGTATTGAATGATCTTGCTTGTGCTTTCCTGGCTACTTTTATACCTTACAAATTTTAGAAATGTGACATTTCCTGGCAGTTCTGCTGGGTGTCAGATCTCCTGGGTTTTGGTCCTCGTTCCCACTACTGCCTTCCCGTATGTCCCTAGACTAGGAGTTTTACTTCTGTGAGCCTGGGTTTCACCAGCTGTGAAATGGGTGAACTTATGCCCACCTCACAGCAGCAGTCTGAAGACTTACTGATCCTTGTTTGTAAGGGGCTTTGAGAAGTGGAAGGTGCAATGGAAAGGTGAAATGTTAGTTCAGGGGTAGGCAACCTATGGCACGCGTGCCAAAGGCGGCACGCGAGCTGATTTTCAGTGGCACTCACACTGCCTGGCTCCTGGCCACCGGTCTGGGGGGCTCTGCATTTTAATTTAATTTTAACATAAGCTTCTTAAACATTTTAAAAACCTTATTTACTTTACATACAACAATAATTGAGTTATATATTATAGACTTATAGAAAGAGACCTTCTAAAAATGTTAACATGTATTACTGGCACGCGAAACCTTAAATTAAAGTGACTAAATGAAGACTCGGCACACCACTTCTGAAAGGTTGCCGACCCCTGTGTTAGTATTGTCACTGTTGCATCTATTGCAGGGAAGTTAAAGGAATGGAGTCTCATTTTATATGGAACAGACGAACACCCTTACAACGCAACCAGTTCCCATCACTCCCAATCGAGGATGCTGGAGATTTCAACACCGAAATTGGAGCTCTCTAAAGCAGCAGTTTTCCAGAGTCAGATGGAGGTGGTGGAAGAGGAGGAAGAATACACAGGTAAAACCTCTGCAGCTCCGTGCTCTGTTTCACTTGCAGCTGAATATTGCTTCCCTGAAAAAATCAGTACCTGCCAGTGTAGATTATAGACACTTTGTGCTGTGTTTAGGGTTTGTTTCCTTTGGGAGAGGAGGAGAGAAAAAGAGAATGGAAATCCTTATCCTACCTGGCCTACGCACCCTGGCCTCTGCCACCAGTAGGCCAGATTCAGCCCTGGGGTACATAGGAAGTGTCAGACTGGAGGTCCAGCTAGTCTCATATCCTGTCTCTCACAATGGCCAACACCAGCTGATTTAGAGGAAGGTGTAAGGACCCCACAGTAGCAGATGTGGGATAATCTGCCCCTCACGTTGTCTCCTTCTGGTCTCTAAGCATGCATCTACGGTGCAAAAAAACCCCGTGACAGTGAGCCTGGAGCCCAGGACAACTGGGGCTCATGCTGTGGGCTCCGAGACCTTCCCCCTTCCTGAGTTTCAGAGCCCTGGCTCCAGCCTGAGCAGGAACATCTACACTGCTACCGTTAGGCTCATGGGGCTTGTGCTACCTGGCTGAGGTAGTTGACCTGGATTCTGAGGCTAGCTGCTGCATTTTGGTTTTGGTTTTTGGTTTTTTTATTGGTGTTTTTGCAGTGTAGACGTACCTTAGTAGTTAGAGATTGGCCCAAACCCTAAAGCATGAGGTTTATTGTTCCTTCCCCAAAAATGTTTGTTTGTGATTAATTTTTTTATTGATTTTCATAAAGAAATCAAACGTTCAAAAGGACAAAAAAGTAAACGACTGGCAGCTTGTATGTGTTTCCAAATCCTGCATGCTTCATGGGATCACCAATGGAATTACGCAATTTTACAGCCTGTCAAAGTTAATACACAACCAGACAGTACTACATAGACATAACATGTTAGGGTCGGGGGAACAGTATTAAAGTAGCAGAAGAAATGGATGAATCGGGAGAGGAAGGAAGGAGGGGAATAGAAGAGGAGGGGGTAGAAGAGAGGTTAGCTGGAATGGATGCCTGGCATTCTTTGAGCCATCACAACAGTTTTATCCAAATGTATCCAGAAATGGGTCCATATAATTTCTCTCTGTGGCATTCAGCTATTCTTTCTTTGACTGCTAACTCAGACACTGTCACCACTGTTCTATTCTGGGCATACGCCTACTCCTCCATTTTTTATTAACATTAATTGTGACAACTCCAGATGATCTAGTTATCCATATAAAGGCCTAATCCCAGTTTGAATCTTGCTAAATTTTTAGCCTCAATATGTATGTCTACACTGCAATGTAAGCCCTGGATTCAAACTCAGGCTCAGGGCCCCATTCTGTCTACACACAAATCACACTAACCCTAAGGGCTTGTCTACATTTACTGGGGGATTGACGCATCAGCAGTCAATTTAGCAAGTTAGTGAAGACCCACTAAATCTACCGCAGATCGCTGTCCCGTTGACTCCTCTACTCCACCGGATCAAGAAGAGTAGGGGGAGTTGACGGGAGGGCGTCTCCCATCGACATCACGTAGCGTGGACCCCGCGGTAAGTAGATCTAAGCTACGTCGATTTGAGTTACGCTATTCACATAACTCAAATTGTGTAGCTTAGATTGAATTTCACCTGTAGTGTATACAAGGCCTAAGTCAAGCCAGGACCCAGGGTTCAAGCCCTATTGCTTTCCAGTGTAGATGCAGCCCCACTGGACTCATGCTCTGGGAGTCCACCAAAAGTATCCTACAGTTCCACAGTTTGACTTTCTTTGTCCTCTGGACAATCAAGTTTGGTAGACAGTCAAGTTTTCCCATGCTGCACCACAAGCAAAGAGCTAAAGTGGCCTCATTTTGGGAGGGTGCCAGGGAACTCTGGGATATGGGTGGTTGGATTTTGACCCCCATAATGTAGTGTAGATGCTGGGGCCCCAGGTTGGGACCTGGGGTTCAATAATTCCTAACCTGGGGTAACAAATAAGAGTAGATACTCAAGCCCTAGGTAACAAACCTGTGGTCTGCTAAGTCAAGTTCTACTAACCCCGGGCTTGCCTTGCAGTGTAGACATACCCAATGACTTCCTGTGCTAATGAGCTCTACAGGCTAATTATGTGTTGTGTGGGAAAAGTATTTCCTTTGATTGGCTTTGAGTTTGCCGCCTTGTTCATTTCATTGTAAGTGGGTACATGCGAATGCAGCTGTGTTGACTCCATAGGAGAAATTCTGCTGAGAAATTTGGTCTCTTATATTTGGTCTCTTATATTTAACAATGGAAATTGACCCTACTGCCCCAGATGCTGGCTGTTCTTTAAGGTTGGGATTGTTCAAAGCATCTTAAGAGAGTTAGACATCGTCTCCCATTGAATTTTTCTGGGGTTTGGGCCCTTTCCTTCGGCCCCTTAGAAAATTCCAGGCTGTGGAGAACAAGGATACAGCCATGGCAGCAACCTCTCTTCTGTCTTGGTAGAGGATAGCAGGACTTACAGAACACATCAGTGGGGTGAAGCACTACCACAAGACTGTTGCGCCACATTGCAAAGATTATCCAAGTCAAGAGGTACAGGGGCTGCTCAAGGAAAAACGTATCGGCTGTAATAGGAAGCCCTGGTTTATTAACTGAGGTCAGTGAAAAATGTGTCCTGGCCTGATTCTCACTTAGGGTGTAGCTGCAGTTCAGTCCGAAGGGGGATTGTAGCACAGACAGATGTGGCATGTCCCGCACGAGCCCGGTGACAAATTGCAGTGCAGACATGGTGGCATGAGCTTCAGTGTGGGCCGTACAAGCCAGGAACCCTGGCATGGGCTGGTATTGATAGTCTGCACTGAAGCCTCTGCCCCCACATCTACACTGCTAGTTTTAGCCATGCTAGTGCAGGTAAACCTAATGCAGGTATGTCTACCCAGGCTGTTTCTGGGAGGAAGGGCACTAGAGTTGGCTGGATAAGAAAGCCTCCAAATCCCCTCACAGCTGTTGTGGTGCACACAGTCGTGTGGGCTGCTCTGGGCCGTAGAGAGCTGAGCAGCCTGGACATACCCACCAGCCCACACACTGACAGTAAAGAAACGGATGCTACAAGGGGGACTGTGTAAAGGAACAAAATTAAAAGTTGAAAAATGACATGTTTCATCACCCCTACCACAAATTGGTCGTGCCGATGTCAGGGGAATGAGAAAGATCTGCTATTTCCTCGCACATGGAGACGGGGTTGGTTCCAAACCCTTCAGAAAAACATTCCACAAAAAGCCAAACAGGACACTGCCACCCACAAAATACAGCTGGAACTGTGAAGGATGGGGGAAATACAGAAGTGAGGCTGGTGTCGGTGTAGATTTGGGGGACGTGTGTGCAAGACTCTTTATAACAAAACAAAACAAAAGACTCTATTGACCGGGCTGTCAGCAGAGGCTGAGATTTTTGTAGGGATGGGGAAAGGCTAAGGGCAAATGCTAAATTATGAGGGGAAAAGAATGTTGTTTGGGAAGATCAAGAAATGCAAAGGTGGAACACAGGCTCAGCTGTGATAGAACTATATAATGTCCCCTCCAGTGGTGGCTGGACCACATTGAGGTTAGTAAGCTTGCTACAGCCTTGACCAATGGAAGCAAATTTTTAGCTCAGGCAGTAGCGGCTCATGCTTTTAAATCCGGAGGTCCAAGGTTCAATCCCCACTGCCAATAACTCCCCCAGGGACATTGCATTGCGTATATGTATTAGACCTGCTTCAAGCAGCCTCAGATGACACAAAGTGAAATCCTGACCCCATGAGAGTCAATGGGAGTTTTGCCATTGACTTCAGGGGGCCCCGCATTTCACTCACAGTGCTTAAAACACTGGCAGCAGCCAATGGCCTGGCTACACCAGGGCCCCCAGTGTTGGTAACTTGGGTGGAGTCAAGCTGGAGGTAGCAATGGTGGGAAGTCACTGCAGAATTTCCCATGTTTACATGAGTCTATTGGCAAGACAGCTGTCAGAAACACAGCCTGGTATCCAGTGCCTCTTGTCTCCCTTCTCTGCCCTTGTCTCTAGGGTCACCCTCCCCCCAGTTACTTTTGTTATGCCCCACAAAGCTGTTTCTTCAGATGTCCTTTTCCTCTGATGGTGATAGAATAGTATCATATGAGATGGCCATGGTAGGTTTTCGAAGGGCATTCAGGCTCATAGTCACTGCTTTGGTAGAGATTTCAGTCCCTGTATTTCCTGTATCACTTTTACCTCTTTCCCTTTTGGGGGAGTATATGCACATATAGTTTTCTTCCAACCGCCACCTTCACATCTGATTGGACGATTCTATTCTAAACGAATTGTCCTAGCTGGAAGTGTCGACCCGATTACAGCACATTTCCTGCCTTTTTTATCATTCCTTCTTAAGTTTGTCACTCTATAACCAATATGAATTAGTAACATATGAATATGGATCTGTTGCTGTTGATAGCCAACTGTTATTATACTAGCCAGGTAATCTAAATGCTCAGTCGTTGCTTAGGAGAGAAGCACACACGCACACAAAATCAAAGTACATCTTAACATAAACACATATGTATGTTTGTGCGAATTTTTTTCTATACATATAGAACATGGACATGAAGTCTCATTTGATGGCTGCTGTTTGTCCTTTGGCTGTTGGATGCGGTGTAGGGCTATGATGGTAACTCTCTCTGTCCCCCTCCTCTACATACATGTTAGGGGGACTGTTGACAAATCGAATGAAATGGCTTTCCGGCCCTTCTGTGCCCAGGGTCCGTGTTAATTTTAAAATTCTCAAAGTAGCAGGGCCAAATCTATCCTGTTTTATCTTTCTCCGGAGCTAGCCCCCATCGATATAGTTTCTCAGCACCTCATACATTTACACACATAAACACTTGTAGGGTGTGGTTGGAAGAGCTTGTGCCAATTCTTTCAGCAGAAATCTCTCTCTCTCTCTCTCTCTCTTTTTAAGGTCCATGTCATCCTGAATGTGGCAACAAAGGCTGCGATGGTCCTAATGCAGATCAGTGCTTGAATTGCATCCATTACAGTCTTGGAATTGTTAAAGCTGGCAGGTAATGATGTTATTGTTTATTTGCATTACAGCTGTGGCCTCTTTGTGCTAGGAGCTGAATGTGCTACTAATAAGAGACAGCCCCCCTCCTCCAAATAGCTCGTCATCTAAACAGACAAAGGATGGTAGTGCAGGAGCATTATTGGTCCCAGTCGGGAAAATAAGGCACAGAGATGAAGTCACTTGCCTGAGGTCGTATAGGGGGTTTGTAACCTGAACCTTGATCTGCTGCATTCTCGTTCAGTGCTTTAACCACCAGGCCATTGTTTTGTTCACAAGTCAGAGTATGATGAATGCTCTAGTTTAATGAAATATCGTCTGAAAGAGAAGCCTGGCTGAGATCTGTTAATAGAAAGACAAACCCGTTGCCTGTAGTGGGGAGGAAGGATGGTCTCGTGGTTACGGCAGCACCCCAGGGCTCAGCAGACCTGTCTCCTCTTCCTGCTTATACCATGGGTGACCTTGGGCAAGTCACTCAATCTCTCCAAGCCCCAACTGTAAAAGGGGGACAATGGTACTTTCCTGCCTTCTAGGGCATTGTTAAGGTTTGGATGCTACTCAGATGGTGCGATGATGAGTGCCCTAGAAAATTAAATCATTAAAGGTCACCGGTTCCAATGCTGCTCAGATTGGTAGTTACTGAAAGTCGTTTCCATCTGACTGGTGTTTGGGGGCTTATGTGGCAGGTTATATTTAATTATTATAAAATCCTTTGGGTGCATGCTTGAATGAACTGCTCTTAGCTCTGTGACTTCCTTCCTGTGCCATGCCTGTATTACGGGTAAATGGAGGACTTCATCCCACCGGGCTGCTGATCTGGCACCTTTCATAAGCACTAGTATTCATGTGAAAATGTATTTTAAGAGAGAGGGAGAGCACTGGGATTCCTGCTTTAAATTGGGACATGGACGGTGTAAGGTAGATATAGGGTGTAATTTTCAAAAGGACCTAGATGACTTAGAAGTCTTGGTCCCATTTTCAAGAGGCACTTAGGTGCTAAGTCCCATTAATTTCCCCTGAGACTTGGGCTCTGAAGGGCCTAAATTATTTTTGAAAATGGGGTGTAGGCTCCTAAATCACTTTGGCGCTTTTGAAATTTTTGGCCATAGAACTAGTTATCAAGGCAGTGTGCATTAACATTGGGGGGACTGTAAGAACCTTTGAATCCCATGCTATTTATGGGAGCGGTTTTAAAGACCATTCCCAACCATTGACATTCAATTTACACCTTGATAATTAATAAAGAATAAATAGGAGTAGATTGTTTTAAAGCAGGGGTCGGCAACCTTTCAGCAGTGGTGTGCCGAGTCTTCATTTATTCACTCTGATTTAAGGTTTCGCGTGGCAGTAATACATTTTAATGTTTTTAGAAGATCTCTTTCCAATAAGTTTATAATATATACCTAAACTGTTGTTGTATGTAAAGTAAATAAGGTTTTTAAAATGTTTAAGAAGCTTCATTTAAAATTAAATTAAAATGCAGAGCCCCCTGGACCGATGGCCAGGACATGGGCAGTGTGAGTGCCATTGAAAATCAGCTCGCGTGCCATAGGTTGCCTACCCCTGTTTTAAAGGATGAGATGATCTAGTAATTCTGCAAGTAAAAATACAGATGAAGGGAGCTGTCTGGTAGGATGACTGGTGTGCAGTCACCATCCCACTGATACAGTCAGACAGGCAAGTGCTGGAGTTAATTGCATAAGCAGCTTTTCTTTACAATAAATACCAAATGAGAACCAAGCACTTGCACAGCTAAACACCAGACTTAATGAGCTGAGAATACTGTACCTTCTGGGAACTGGGATCCATACTCTTTTGCTTTTCAGATGTCTAAATGTGCATCTGTTTAATTTATACTTGGTAGTATAATCCTTGGAAGCCAGCACACATACTGCCACAAGGCCTAGAAGTCCTGACACCTACATCTTCTCTTGGATTGATTGTCTAGAAATCCTAACACCTAAATCTTCTCTTAGATTGATTTGTATCTCACATGAGATGATTGCACACTATCAGTTCAGACTTTGGTTATTGTAACTTGTATTTTACAAAGCAATCCCACCTGAATATCTAACTCCACAAAGATCATGCTACGACAGTGCTTAATAGTAATTTTTTCCAAACACCTCTAACTTGGTGGAATGACTCAGCAGAAACAAGACCATAGGTGCAGCTAGCAAGGGATTTCCTCAAGGTCAAAGAAAGGAGCCACAAAATCTCCTTTAACCTGAGGTTCAACCTAGTCCTAATATAATTTATAGGCACCAGCTCAGCAAGCAGGTGTTTGGGGCGGCCAAGGGGAAGGGGCGGCACGTCGGGCTCTTTGGCAGCAATTCAGCGGCAGGTCCCTGGGTCCCTCTCGGAGGGAAGGACCTGCCGCCGAATTGCCGCTGAAGAAGAAAGCGGTGCGGTGGAGCTACCGCCAGATTGCTTTTTTTTTTTTCCCCACTGCTTGGGGCGGCAAGAACCCTGGAGCCGGCCCTGCCTAGGAGTCCCAGTCACAGATCAGGGCTCCATTATGCTAGGTGCTGTACAAAGAACCAAAAGATGATCCATGCCCCAGAGACATGACACACTAAGTATAAGATAAGGGACCACAGAGGGATACAGACAGAAGAAAATAAGAAAACAATGAGACAGTAGTACCAGATACTTCCCCCAAAGGCTTTCTTCTACCTGCGTCTCCTAAAGGGTTTATTTCTAAGCCTTCTCCTGAACACCTGTGCAGGAGGAAAGTGAAGCTGAGCTGAGAATGATGAACTACAGGTGGCCAATATTAGTCGCATGGCCTAATGCACTCCTGGAAGACACTCAGATACCATGGTGATGAAGGCATCATAAGAACCTATGTAGAATAGAAAGTTTAGCCCCTTGCTCACTGTCTAGTCCCTGGATTTATCACCGTACCTTTTTGCCTTACAGGGTAATCTCTTTATCGTGGCCAATCCAGTGAGGCGTTGACAGGAGCGGCGCCAGGGTTTTTGCTGCACTAGGCGGCAGCGCTCCTCCTCTGAGCATTCGGCGGCCGGGGTCCTTCCGCTCCGCGTCTTCGGGGCACTTCGCCGCTGAATTTCCGCCGAAGACCCGGAGCGGAAGGACCCCCGCCGCCGAATTTCCGCCGAGGACGGCAAAATGCTGCCCCCCCAAATCCTGCCGCCCTAGGCGACTGCCTAGGGTCGCCTAGTGGAAGTGCCAGCCCTGGGCGTTGAGCGCCCTCCACTCTTGTTGGCTTCACTGGATGCATCTGGCGGAAGTGAGCCCTCGGACATTGATTATATGCCTGGTTTGTTTAATTCTTCTCCAGGGTGTGTGTGAGCTCGTGCCCTTCGGGGTATTTTGGGGACAACGCAAGTAGGAGATGCCGACGATGCCAGAAGGGGTGTGAAACCTGCACGGGCAGGGGCCGAAACCAGTGTACATCTTGCCGACGCGGTTTCTATCACCACCAGGAAACAAATGCATGTGTGGTGTTCTGTCCAGCTGGGTTTTACACTGATGAAAGTAAGGATGTGAACCGTTTACAGACTGGAGCATGAGAATGTGGGGGGTGGGTTTTTTCCCAAATGAACACGAATGGAAGAATTTCAGAAATCTAAAATGTCAGGGTGGAGCCTCCATGTGACAAGCCTTTGATCACCATCTAATAGGCAGATCTCTACTGCAGCCAAGTTGCACTCTCGCTGCCACAAGTGATGACAACCAGAATGCTACAGTAACGTGAGCCAGTGCAAGAAAAAATGCACAGTGCCTCTTCAAAAATTGGACTGATCATCCTCATTATGAGGCACACGGTGATAAAACTCCCAATGCTTTACAAGCATGAACTAGCTTAACCCTCACAACGCCCCCGGGGAGGTAGAACAGTATTATAATCCCTGTTTCACAGGCGGGGAAACTATGATGCCAAGGTCAGAGTCATAACTGTCAAATGTGCCCACTAATGTTTTCATTTTGGGGGGCCCGACTCAAGACATTTATGATCTGATTTGCACAACTCCAGTAGACTGTGGATAATGAGAACCTCTCAGATTCAGCAGCCGAATCAACCTCTCAGAATTCAGCCCCCAAAACCTGAGGCACTGTTAATGAACAGTTCTGGCCACACAGCCAATCAGAGGCTGAGTCTGGGTTGGAACTCAGGCATTCGCCCAGCTCCATGCTTAGGGTAGAAGGTTAAATGAGTTAAGCACTTAACTCCCATTGAAGGTCAATGAGAGTTAGCTCATGTCTATGCTACAAAATTAAGTTCCTCTAACACACGCGGGCATACAGCCGCCGCAGTAATTACATCGCTTGTGCGTGGCTGCGTGTTGCTCCTTGTGTCAGCAGCCCGTGTCCTTACCAGGAGCACTTGTATCGACTGTACTGTCAGTGTGGGGCATCATGGGAAGGCTCCTGAAAACCAGTAACAGTCGACATAAACAACACCGTGTCTACACTGACACTGCGTTGCTCTAACTACATCAACCTTGACTCTTGTGGAGGTGGAGTTATTAAGTCGGTGTAGTGGGGCAGTTATGTTGATGGGAGCAAAATTTAAGTGTAGACACTTCCATCGTTAGATTGACATAAGTTGCCTTGCGTTGACCTAACTCTGTAGTGTAGACCAGCCCTTAATTGCCTAACTCACTTGGATACCTTTGGAAAATTCCACCCTTAGTCGTTATTTCAGAGGTGGAAATCCCAACTAGAGAAATGTAACTATTAATTGCCATGGCTGCAGTTCAGGAGGCATTATTATTATTATTATTTATTATTATTCCACCTGTCTCGCTAAGGTGTTTTGCTTTGGATCACTTGCCATGGAGGGGGTGGAGAAAGAAAAGAGGTAACCAATGCAAGCCATTGAACAGAGAAAAGAGGGGAATTTAAAACAAAGTGACATTTCCCAATATCCCATTGTAAATGCTGTTTCCCCCCTAATATTAAAGGTCACATTTGTGAGTCTAACGGCTGGAATGTCGTTCCTCTCCCAGCCCTTCCTGCCAATACTCCCTTTTGTTCCATTGTGTCTGTAATGAGTAGCCATCGACAGCACTGTGAACATCTGTACTGAGTCCAGCTGTGGGCAGGAATAGGAATGCTGCTGCTTCACTTTACTCACATGGTGGATCGACATCAGTCTATACTTAATGTATCCATGAGGCCCCATCAGCACAAAACACCCCATGGAAGTCAAGGCGAGCTTTGTCTGAGTGAGGATTTGGACTATCTAGAGCCCAATCCAACTCCCATTAAAGGCTCCCAGTGATTTTAATGAGAGTTGGATCACGCCCATAGCATGTGTAAGAACCCACACAAATTTGTGCAGCTTCTGGACTATTGAAATGTATGGGGATAATTTGATATCCATGAGAAGCAGCATATATTGAATCAGAAACATCATAAAACTCCTAGCTGAGTTGGCTTAATCAAATAAGTATTTACTGTGTATGTGTCCCTCTGAGTTATCCACGTAGTCTGAAGACCATCCATCTGTAGGTCCTTTTAATAGAAAGGGTTCACGTGTATGACGAAAATGCTGTTCTACCTCTGTAAGCTGTTGCCTGCAAATAGCTGCTGAACTGCGGGACTTTTCAACTCGTAAGATCTTTCTTGTGCATTGTGGCCAGACTGCTGCTTGCATCTCTCTGGGCAGATTTTATTTACACTGACTTTCTTTGTTTCTAAAAGGTCAAAAACTCTGTCTGGAATGTCATCAAAGCTGTAAAACATGTGCTAGTGATCCAGATAAACGTATTCTCTGCAAGGATGGATTCAGGTAAAATTAACTTTCAAAATGTTTGTCTCGATGTTAAACTAAAGAAACTGACATGAAATCTGCACATTCTGATAAATCAAAAAGCGGAATTTAAAAAATAAATATTTCTTTTTCAATTACACTACGACTGTGATCCAAATTGCCAAAAGCCAGGAAATTCAAAGGAGGGAGCAATCATTATATAACATAACTCATCCTGTAGCTCAGTGTTTCCCAAACTGGGGTCGTCACTTGTGTAGGGAAAGCCCCTGGCGGGCCGGGCCGATTTGTTTATCTGCCACATCCGCAGGTCCGGCCGATCGCGGCTCCCACTGGCCGCGGTTTGCTGCTCCAGGCCAATGGGAGCTGCTGGAAGCAGCACGGGCCGAGGGACGTACTGGCCACCACTTCCTGCAGCTCCCATTGGCCTGGAGCAGCGAACCGTGGCCAGTGGGAGCCACGATCGGCCAGACCTGCGGACGCGGCAGGTAAACAAACCGGCCCGTCCCGCCAGGGGCTTTCCCTACATAAGCGGCGTCCCAAGTTTGGGAAACACTGCTGTAGCTGAAAAGCACTATATACATTCCATCAATTTATCTACAGCACTCATCACTGTGGTATAGAAGTGCCATGTTGCACATATAGATAGCCCTGAGTGGCCCTCAAATGGCACTGCTAAGTATTATTATTATTATTTTATTGTTATTGTCACTGGTAAAGAAAAGTCTCATTTCCCCATCGTTCAGGGTTGATCCAAAGCCCACAGAAGTCAATATAAAGCCTCCCGTTAATTAAATGGGCTTTCGATCAATGGTCTTTAGAGTGGTGTAAATCTGGGAGTAAATCCATGGCAGTCAGCGGAGTCAGTCTAAGTGAGAGGAGAATCAGTCCCAGATTGTTAGCTGACCACCGACCACCATTTTGACTTGTGTCTTTGACGTTGTCTACACTCTGAAGATGCTTTGCAATATAGATATACCGGTGGAGTCCCCTAGTGTTAGACGTGGCTTATGCCAACAGAAGGAGTTTTTCTGTCGGCGTAGTAACACCGCCATCCCAGATGACATTAGCTGTGTCGACAGAAGCGTTCTGCTGTCAGCGTAGCGGCGTCTGCGCTGCGGTTTTTGTTGGCATAACTTTGCTGGGGGTTTTGTTGGCTAGTGGGGTGGTGCTTCCACACCCCTAACCGACAGAACTGTGCCGTGAACACTTTATTGTGTAGACCTGGCCTCAGTCTGCTAACAGGCATGGTGTTATCTATCATGCTTGCGTTACACCTAGTCCAGCCCCTGTTAAGGTCCATGGGAGTCGGAGCCAGGCCTGTTGTCTATAGACGGGCCTACCCCTGCCAGCTGCCGAGCACTATCGTTGATGACTGCTGTACTGATCCAGGAACAGGCTGAGGTTTACTGGTTGAAGTCTGGATCAGGGACAATGGACATCATGGACATCACCAGGAGCTGAGGGTGCTCCTGTGTCTCCCACCTCATTTCTGGCTATCACTGGCTCTTTCTCATTCCCTTAATGCTGTCTGATTTAAATTCCCTTTGCTGGGTTTGTTTATAAGCTGGGCTGGGGGTAGAGATGTGGGGAGGACATCTAAAAGGAAAAAAGACCAAATAAAAATGTTTACATTGAATATTATACAACGTACGGTTTCCACATGAGCCTCAGGGAGCTCCTTCAGAACCTTCCCCGGTTCAGCACGTCCCCTGCAGCCGATTTTTCAAAACAAGGGATGTTTACCTAGAGACAGGAGTTATTGGGTTGATCCTATAAATATCTATTTTGGGTGCATTTAAAATGCATACTACAAACACAGAGGTCCCTTATTTAGGCCTTATTTAAACAGGAAAGTTTTACCGGTTATACCAATATAGCTATACCAGTCTAGTTGTACAGATATAGTTACACCGGTACCAAAAGCTCATGTGGGCACTCTTATATGAGTGACTTGACTTATTGATTTGTTTGTTTGTTTAATTTTGGTAGCTTAAACCCTTCCCAAGTGACATAAAACTAACCTGAAAAAGTCACACTTAGACCGGAGTCAGTGTCCCCAGGGAGGTGAGGGGTGTTATACTGGCATAACTATCGCTCCTTATGCATGGCAAGCTGGAGTCTCAGCTCCTGGAAAAACACATACTCCACCCCACCCCCCCCTTGTTAAATCAAGATGGCTCCTTTGGGGCTAACTTGCACTGGGCCCAGCCCTACAGTGAGAGGAGGTAGAAAGGCGGCTTAGAGCCACCGTTGTCTCTTCTTACCCCAGCTGTGCTGGATGGGAGTTCAGTGCTACTGGGGATTGAGGGTGAGGGCTCATTTTCAGAAATGTCTTCGGAAGCCCAAGTCCCATGGTTAAAAATTCTCCCCCATTAAAGTAAAAGTGTGAAACTGGGATGTTTTGTCTCAGTGTTTGAAACTGGAAGTGCTGAGCCCATGTCACCACTGTCCTGAATTTGGTTCTCCTCTGCTGGCGCATGTGTAGCTGTCTGATTCAGTCAACAGGCTGTACTTGGACCGGAGTGACTTTTTTAACAGCACTGCTTCACAGAAGTAAAAATCGCTAGCGCCGAAAGGTTCTGCATTCCCTCAGAAAAGGGAAAGGGGAACCGGTTGTCAGGTGTAAGCCATAGAAAGCTACCTTTTATTGTCCAATACCCTTTTAAGCTGGGAATCCAAATCCTCTCTGTCACATTAAAGCACTAAGGGCCCAACAGAACCGTTTCCAATAAGAACTTTCTGTTTCTGCTCATTTCTGAAACCTAGAGAAGGGTCCATGAGGCGGCTTACGGTTTTTCAGAGCACGGCTGAGCTGTCAATCACATCTGGTTTGCGAGTGCGGCAAAGCCTTTTGTTCGGAGGGCTTTGTGTTAAACTTCAGATGAGCCCAGTCTGGATCAGAACTCCTTGGATTTTGGGTCTGAGCTTGAATTTCTGGGCTTGGGCCCATCTCTGATTAAAAACACACTTTATACACTGGACACACTAAAAGCTAAGTCCCAGATTCTCCCACCTTTATTCCCATGCAGTAACACCATACTGCACACGCAGCCCTGTTGGTTCCAACAGGAGTAATCACAGAGTAAGGGCTGGTCTTCTACGTATTGTGAACGTGGCTGGCAGGATCCGAACCCAGATCATTTGCACACGTGCTGTTTCAAAACACAGTACCTTTGCGGTCCATATAATGGCCACCAAATACTAGTGTAATAAAGTTTCGATTTAATCCGTGCTAGCTGTAGTTACTGTGGATGCTGCAACACCATCCAATCCATCCTTCCTGTAGGTAGGACCCTGCTCTGCTCAGCTGAGAGCAACTGCAAGGCTTGTGGCACCTTATCCTTGGAAGATACATTGCAAAGTTCGAGGCCCAATTGTGATCCCCATACTCATGTGAGTGAGCAGCCAGCGCCCTAGGACTGCTCGGGCATGTAACTCCTCAGCACAGTGAGGGGCCGGGAGTCCCCATGTGGCCCTCGGGATTTAGGCTGCACGACTCCAAAGGAATTCCTGCTAGTCTTCAGAATCAAACAGTACTGAGAAAATAACGATGATTTATTTGTGTTACTGTAGCACCCCGGACCCCCAGGCATGGACCTGGACCCCATGGCACTCACACCGAACAAAAACCAGTCCCTGCCCCAAAGAGCCGGCAGTCTCGGCATGAGTCACTAATCAGTGAATAAAAAACAAACAGCTTAATTCCTCCAAAGCCAGGCATCCTGGTAGTAAAGAAGAAACACCCTCTACAAGAGAGAAACCCTTGATATGATCTCTCTGTGTTGCAAAGGTCTAACAACGTTCTGCGTTACAGGCCTTTGGAAGAGTTGGGCCGGCTGCCCATGTCTTTTTTTTGTTTTTAAACCGCCCTTTGCTCTTGAACATTTCATAAAAGATCCTGGAACAGGTTTTTTTGAGGGTGTGTCCCTAGAAGGACTTGAATGTCTTCTGAAGTGATGGCTCAGTTCCAGATGCCTTCTGCCCAGCTGGGAGAGAAGGCAGCGGGTAGTGGTGCTGTGCTTTTGTATTGCACGTGTTTTTAAACGTCATTATTGTTTTGGGCATTTGTGTATTACAGTAGCACACCGAGATCAGCGCCCCGTTGTGCTAGGCCCTGTACACAAACACATAGCGAGAGGCAGGCTCTGCCCTGAAAGAGCGTACACTCTAAATAGACAACAAGACAAACAAAGGGTAGGGAAGCAGAGGCTCGGTGGGCTGAAGTGATTTGCCCAGGGTCACGCGACAGGTCAGTGGCCAAGCTGGGCTAGAAACCCTTTCCGATCCTCAGTCTATTGGGCTATCTGCTAAACCACGCTGCCCCCAATAACACAATATTTGGGGGCAGGCAGAGGGGGCCAGGGAAATGCAGATTAAAATAATCTTCACTTTCTTCTTGTGTGTTTAGGGTGATGTCCTGGAAAGGACCGTAAATCAATTATTAACGCTCCAATCCAGCAATTGGATCCCTGTAGCAGCCCCCACCAAGATGTGACCAGGGCCTGAGCTTGGTATCAGTGAACCAGACTTGACTGACAGTCCCTTGGGCCAGCTGGCGTAGCTTAGAGGAACCCCCGGGGCCATACATAGAACCAGAAAACCAACCCCTCTTCTCTGCTGCGCCGAGCAGATCTTGGCCAGCGCAGAAAATCTGGCTTCCTGGGCCCAGTCCTTGGCTGCAGTCATGGAATGCAAGTTGAGGTGTACGAGCGGGGGGATTTAAGCTATAAGCCACAGTTGTGCTCCTCTGATCCTGGCCACGCTACAGCAAGCCAATCTTTTGGCATAAGTAGCCTGAAGGCTGCCCCAGGAGGGCCTATTACAGATAGGGGTGCAGGAAAACACTGGTCATGCTCCCTGCATCAGAGCAGGGAGGGGCTGGTGTTGAAGCAACTACAATGGTTCTGTGCCACATAAGGATTCCCTTACCCAGAGCAGATCCTATGGAGACTGGGTCTGCTGGGTTCACTTTGCTTTGGGGAAGGTGGTACGAAGCTGTCTCAGGCTGCCCAGTCGTTACAAGGAGGCTTGTATTAAACCTCTTGATGGTGAAATCACTAGGGATTGGGGGAGTATTTGTGTGTTTCAGTAAAACTTTCTCCCCTGCTTTTCCAACAGCCCGTTAGGAGCAGGCTGTCTCCCGGAATGCCAGCCAGGCATGTATTTCAGCAAAGAGACCCGGAAATGCGAGAGGTGCCACGCGAGCTGCCAGACATGTGTCGGTACGTTCTTCATCTGCACGGGGTCCCGAGCCGTTCCTCCAAACAGCCTTAAACCCAGCCCTCTGTGCCTAAGCCGTGAGCTCGCTGCTCTGCAATGCAACAGCACCTGTGCCTGGGCTCGAGGCCTTATTGCTCCTTTAGAGCATAAGGTGTGCTTTGAAGCAGCGTCGCTGGATCAGTGCAAAAATTAACCCAGCAGCTTGTGGAAGGAAAAGAAACGGCTGTGTGGGTTCAGGGCGTTTCGCTCGCTGTGCAAAGCCCAGCACAGCAAAGGGAAAGCACCCCACCATGCTGCTTTTCCACGGGGATTGCAGCCCCCAGTCTTTAACAGACCTAGTCCTTTTCAGGGTGTTTGATAGGGTTACCCCTATTGAAGAATTATCTCCACGTGAGCTATAAAAAGGCCACTCTTTTTTTTTCTTCTCCCCTCACCATCTGCATGTGCATGTATAGAAGTAAATGGGGCCTAAAAGTCACAACCAGGTTGAGCCCCATGGTGCTAGGTGCTGTACAAACATAAAGGGAGGTTCAGTTTGAGGTTGGGATGGTCACATTGCTCACAAGTGCCCAGCAAACCCTTTTCCGTGCTGTCGTGGATGCTGCGTATGCTGGATAGACAGCAGAAGCAGTTATCTTTTTCAAATGCTTTAGGGAGTTTTTGACATTTTTTTATTTTATTTTATTTTTTGTATTCTTACACCTGTGAAGCCAGGCGCTGTAGTTGAACAAGGCTCAGGGGGAGCCCTCTAAAAATGACCTAAGACAGCTTTTCGGCACATAAAAATGGCAAGAGTTTGAAGTCTGTTATCTCGGGTCATTGCATGATTGGTTAGAAAGGATTGCTTGGATTCTCCCCCACTGAAAAAGGATACAGCTCCCATTTATGCCATGGGCCCAAAATATCAGACTTTGAACCCATCCCTGAGGCAGGACTTCTACTGCCAGTCCTGATCCTCGGGCCAGGTTAATTTGCGGGGGAGAGGAGAACTTTCACATCCTGCAGAACAGATTGACTTTACAAATAAAAATATGGTGGCTCTGGGGCTTGCACTAAATGCTGGGAGACGGGTTAGTGGGCAGAGTGCAGGTGAGGCAATCAGAGGGGAGTGATCGATTTATTCTCACGCCGCAACAGTGAGAGAAAAATTATTTTTAAAAGTAGGAAAATACTAATTGTGAAACCACAAACATTGGCCGGCGACTCAGACATTTGTTTTAACAATATGAACTGGGTTTTAAGCCAATTGTGTCCCTGTAAATATTACCTATCGAACAACAACTAAGCAGTAGATCAAGAGCACTTACCCTCTACCGCTAGCTCACCAGCCAAATTACATCCCTCTCATGTCTGGCAACTGTTTTCAAAGAGAGACACTCAGAACACTGGTGGTTGCGCAGGAGGTGAGGCCAAAGTCATGGTAATCAACAGTCACGTTTCAAGGCACCGGCTGACCTGCAAGGATCTGGAAGGAATTTTTTGCCACCCTTCTATAAGCCAGGCCAGCCTAGCAGAGTGAGGCTGCTGCAGGAAGGACCAACGCTGTACACGGGGCTGTCACTGGAAAAGGGAGAGGGTGGAGTGTCTACATGGGAGGGGAAGGTAGCAGGAGACAGAGCCTCTCAGCAGTGGGGAAGGATGGAGCAGAGATATGAAGGGAGAGGCACAGTGGGGAAGCTGCCCCTCCCCCCTCCGCCTTCCCCAGCACTGCAAGTAGCAGCGAGATGCAGGGCCAGAGCTCGGAAGAGGAGTCGGCAGAGCGACGCTGCGACCTCAAAGCTCGAGTGTTCGCCGAGCGAGCGCACGTGCAAAGTAGCCCTAACATCGCCGAATGGCCGTTTGCTTCAAACAGCCCAGCCCACGTTTTTGCCAGGTCAAAAGAAATGGCCTAGGTCGGCCACAGTGTAGCAGCAGATACCGGTCATGCACGTGGGCCACTTCTGGGTTTCGAGCCCGTCCCCGCCTCCCAGTTGGGTCCATCCTACAGTCGATAGGAAGCCTCTCTTCCCTGGGGCCAGCAGGGCTCTGTTCCCAGTGGTGCACATGCCGCATGGCTTCTGCCCAGGGCTGTCCTTACCCATACGCAAAGTACGCAGCTGCGTAGGGCACCAGGAAATTTGGGGCACCCTGGTGCCCTGCGCAGCTGCGTGCTGCTCCAGCCCCTGCTCCACCTCTTCCCCATGGCCCCCGCCCCTGCTCCGCCCCCACTCTCCTGAGGACTGAAGCAGGGCCGGGCCTGCACTCACCAGTGGCGGGAAGTGCAGCGGCCCGGCCCCAGCCGCGCCACCGGTGGGTGCTGGGGCGTTGTTCCCTCCCTGTTCCCCAAGCCAACCCTGCCCCCCCCCGCAGGGGGGGGCTGCGTAGGGCCCCAGAATAGCTAGGGGCGTCCCTGCTTCTGTTGCCTGGGGGAGGTGGGTTGGATCTAGCTGCGCTTGTGCTTAGTGGCTGGTCGTTCGAAAGGCCACCAGGTCCAGCAGTCATAAACCCAGGTTTATGATGCAGTGTGGATGCTAAAGTGCGGGCTTGGAAACACCAACTCCATAAGCCCAGGTCCCATAGACCCGGATTTACAATGCAGCATAGTCATAACCCGAAGAGGTTGTGAGGAGTAGGGTGAGGTGGTACCCCTTGCTGCCTCCTGGATACAGCATTTGCTTAGGTGTGTTGTGGAATGTTGATTTTCCTTTCCTCAAAGCGTCAGGAACTGGCTTCAGCCAGAGGAGGATGCTGGTGCAGGAAGAGAGGGAGAGATTGGTGGGCTGCGCTGTTACAGCAAACCCTGTGACCTTCCCTACTTACAGATTTTCCTGCTTGCCTTTCCTGCCATCTTCTCCTGGCTCCGAACCTTCCCCACTGAAAGTTAACCATGTGCACGAAGGGCTGGCCGTGTAGGGGACAAGGCTGGGCTGGTACTTTGTCTTAGTGTCTCTGCCTGGGGTATCTAACAGCAGGGTCAAAAACACTGTCAGAAAGTCAGTGGAGATCGGAGGCTGTGGGCACTTGAGGGCTTGGCCAGTGTGCGTGCTCCTAAAAATGTCAGGCTACACTTAGCTGCACACCCAGGCCTGTCGGCATCTCTTGAAGGTCCTTTCTAGCCAGGCTGTTGGGTTAGCTGGGTCTTCGCTGGGCCTGGGATGTGGGCATGAGCTGAGGAACCATTTAGAGTCCAGCTGAACCATTTAGAATCTCAGGCAGCTTGTTTATTCTGCCGCAGCCTTCTGGAACGGAGCAGACTGCTGTATGTATCCTAGTCCCGAGTGTCCCTGGCTCCCGTCCGACACAGTCATCGTAACACAATGTGGTAATTGTCTTTGTAGCCAACTATAATATTTCATGTCTCCCTTGTTCTCCCTAGGGCCAGGCAAAGAGGCATGCATACAATGTGCCAAAGATTTCCACCTGCACGAGTGGCGCTGTGTCCCTGCTTGCAGCCAGGGGTTTTACCCTGAGGCGGTGCCAGGTCTACCTTATAAAGTCTGCACAAGGTACAGTGTCCTCTTGAGACCTTTCCCTTTGAAGTTAGTGTGATGAAATGCACAGGGAGCCATTCTTAATAGCTGACTGGATACATCGGCAATCGGAGTGGGGCTGCTGATAGCGTGTGTCACAGGGAACGAAGATAAAAATCCTCAAAACAACTGGCTGGTTGATGCTGTTTACTAGACCGACTAAAATGGTCAAACAAGCCCTGAGCTTTCGGAAATTCTTCACCGGAGCTGATTTTTCATATGGGTGACTAGTGAAAAGTGTCAGCGTGGAGCATTCTTAGATAGTAAACTCCTTGGGGACCGTCTGGTTGTTCTATTTGTACAGCGCCTGGCACAATGGGGTCCTGGTCAATGACTAGGGCTCCCAGGGGATACAATAATACAAATAACAAATGAGCATAGTAAGTCCTGCCTCAGGACCAGGAGGCCCTGGGTTCTAAACACACACCAAGCTTTGGGCAAATAGGCACCACTGACCCTGATGTGGGTTGCTGCGCTCTCTTTCAAGGCAGATGTTAAACCCTTATGGCTGGGGTGAAAATTAATACTTCTACAGTGCCCTTTGAAAAGGGGAACTCTGGAAGTCAGAAAACAAGGGCTGGTGCCTGAAGGTATGTTGAGCATAAACTAACTGCTCCATTTGCCTTCACAGCCAGTTCTCTAGCAGTGTTTAACGCATTCCTTTGCAAAGCACTGAGATGGCTTGTGCAGGAGAGGCGCTGTAAGAAACCAGATTCTAGTCCATTCGCAAACAGTAGTTTCTTGACCTAAGTGGAGACTCCCATTGAATTTCACCTAATTATATGTAAGGAATAAACGTTACTATTTAATAGTAGAACCAAATGTTCTAATTTCGCCAGGTAGTATCAAACCCAGTCGGCGGGTTTCATCCTTTTGGGAGGTTTCATCAGCACATCTAAATCGTGTCTCCTTTAGACAGGAGAAATGTCTGACCTTGCTTCTATTTTTTCTGTATCGTCACCTTCCGCTTTAGCACTGGAACTCTCTGTAGTTGATCCAAGCTGCCTTTCTTCCTCCAAAACCGGAGTAAAAAAAGTGATGCAGTGAAGAGATGTTGCACTTATTTATTCCCAGACAAAAAACTCTGAAACTGGAGCGTACGTATCGTTAATTTAGAAACCCTGGGGATGTGGCAATTGTCCCCCGAAACAAGCATTACTGATCATGGCATCTCTACAGGGCAGAGTTAAGCTTGCTTTGGAGCCTTAACTGCATTGCTGTACTTTAACATGGCTGGGTTTCTTTTAAGTTTTACCTCTGGATGTAAATTACAACATTCCTGTGTGGTTTTTAACCCTTAAATTCCCGATGTGTGTTCTCCAGCATAATGTTTTTTGTCTGTGAATATTAAAAATAGCTTTGTTTTAATCTTTTTGTTAAGAAGGTGAAGGAGGAGGAAAATAGCTGGGACCACTTCCCCTCTCCTCCCCTCCCCATCACAGTTCCTCAAGGCCATCTGAGTATGGCAACTTATTAATCACTACTGACCAGAAACAAATGTGAAATGGAGGCGAAAGACTCCCGTGTCCTATCACCAGCCCAGTAAGAAGTTCAGCCCCTCATGGTTCAAGTTTTCCAAAGAGAAAGGGGCTGGTTCAGTCTAGATGTAAGTGGGTTCAAATCCATTCCCTTCAGTGCCCTGAGGCTGAATTTGTCCTATGGTCTGTCGGGTCTCGACACAAATGGTTGTGGTGCCGAGAGAAAATATTTGTGCGCTTGTCTCTTTGTCAGATGTGACGACAGCTGCTCAGCCTGTGAAGGCTCCAGGGATAACTGCGTCAAGTGTAAGGAAGGTTTCAATCTGCGCATCGGCTCATGCATCACAAATGTAACCTGCATGGATGGTACGTAACGAGAGGGTAAACATGGAATAAAGACGCCAGGCTGATACCCCAGTAGCACAGATGTGTCTTAAAGCTGCCCTAAAGGGGTAGCTGGGGATTCCCCTGTCATCGGGGGTTCCCCAATGGTATAAAGTAATTGGGATCGGCTCTACATCACCCTCCCCCATCTCTGTAAATGCTGCTGTCGGGGCATGGCCAGCGCATGCTGTGCTCTGGTTATTCAGAGCCATTGAGCGGCCCATGGGGACTATTCCAGCTGGCATTAGTTAGAGCATCCCTGTGGTTGCACTAACTTACACTGGCCCAAGGATGCAGGAAGGCTGAAAGGCAGCTTAGAGATACGTTTGCCTCCCCTGGTCTCCACGCACCCTGGTGCAGTTGAAGATTGAGCCTATAGATTGAGTACTCTCTGTACAGGGACCTGGGCCCAAATCCTCAGTCGCATTTAGACTCCATTGATTTCATTGAAAGTTAGGCATCTAAAGATCTTAGAGCATCTGGACCCTACCCTTTCTATAGGTCTGCAGGGTGCCTAGGATGCCGTCAGATAATAATAATAAAAAGCTTCCTAGAATTCAAGTGGAACTGGTCTTGGAATCAAACCAGAGAATAGATGAGAGACATGTATAGGGACATAAGGAAAAATCCTTCAGCTGCACCTTTCCCAATTATCTACATTCCCAAGAAGCCCCTGGCTGTAGTCAACAAAATGCTCCTGATTCTTCATTCTTTCCTCACAACAAAAACAGGGAGAATGTTGGATGCTGTGATTTCATATTTATGGAACGTATAATTGACCTACTCGAATTAAATCAAGTTACAGAATTCCTGACCTGAAACAGCACTATGATTTCTCCCATCTACATAATGATTGCTATAGAAACACAGGTTACCCAGCAAGGCTGATAAGCGTTTGCTTATTGCTCAAGTACACACACGTGTTTGCATTTCATTATATTTCATCCTTGGACTAATTCTCCCACTCATCGCAAAGTGTCTCCATTCCTTTATTACAAACGGGTGGCGATACCCCTAAAAGTGACTTCTTTTCAATTCTCTCTCCTCAAGCACTGGAACAAATTGCATTGCCTGTTACCTGTGAGGGGTTGTTTATTTAAAATGTTAATCTGTTTTCTCAGATTCTCCTATTCCTGAACGCAGCCCCTCAGCTTTCAAGACCCTCTGTGAGATTGTGAAATCAAAAAAGCTCTGTGAAATGAAGCTATTCATACAGTTGTGCTGTCAGACATGTCTCATGGCTGGATAAAGTCCATTATCTGCATCCAGGAATTCCACCACCCTGCAAGTCCAGTTTGCCAAACCTTTAGGACAAAAGTTTATTTTTTCAACTTTGGGAGAGTTTACATGGTGCTGCCTAACATCAGTTTGATAGCTTTAATATCTCTGTCAATTTGTTTCTATAGCAACATAATGAATAGCATTAAATCTAGGTAGGATCTTATTCTTGGTAATTAAGGCCTCAAAGATATAAAACAAATGGCAATATTAATACTCTCAAATGCTTCTCATGGATGGGGACTGATGTGTGATCTAGACACCTCACCTTGTTTCTTAGTCAAAATCCTTCTGATTCAACCATTCCAAGGGCATAGCAGGAGATCAGGACTCGAAAGCACCACGGATTTCTGTGTCTCTGAGAAGAAGAAGCTATTAATGGTTAAACACTTTCTATTCTTCTATGTTAGCTCATGACTGATAAAAATCCACGTTACAAAAAAAGAGTAGTACGGTATTTTTCTGTTCTTTACATATGTAAAATGATGAACTGTGTAATCTGAACTAAATAATCCACTCGATAAAAGCTCTAAAGCAAAGTATTCAGGTTACTCGTTGGCTTCTGTTGTTAACTGTTTCTGTCTGGCCATAAATTTGACAATAACTGGAGACTTGAGAATCCTATTCAGAGTTGGTGTAAGAGGGACAATCCAGTGCCCCTGCTAGTGCTGTTGGAATTTAGCCCATAGTGTCTGTTGGGGCCCTCAACCTGCCAGCTGTTGCATGCAAGCGGATCCATGTCCCCGCACAGAGCCCCACTGATTCAGTGGGAGGCTGGCCAGACATAAGGGTCCATCCACATGGTTCAGGAGTCTTATTTACTGAATCCATTTCTCTTCTGAAATAATGATTAAGTGGTTGATGAACTCCGTTCTAATCATTGAAACCTGTTAGGTTCTTCCTCTCCTAGCTAAATGAGATGGTTTTCCTATATTTTTACCCTCCAGCACTTTGCATCAAAGCCTCTTTTATATGACAACACTTTGATGGACTTAACACCTCTCTCTAAGAAATCCCAATGCCGATGATCCGGTCAGGAAACGCCTTCCCTATCCAGCTCAGTTCTCTAAAACAAATCAGAATCTCTTCACTCTGTCTCCAAACAGAATGTCATGTGGTGTTTGTATAATTGTTTAAAGTTTATTTGGCTATGTTGTCCTGAGATTTTTTTGTAATAACTTATACTGTATTTCTCCAGAGATTATTAATTATTATTGTTATTATTTTTATGGGAAGTGGGGAATCTTTTATGTGTCTTATTCATGTGTTTCCCCTTCTCCGGGACCTCTGTTGCCAGACTTTATAAAGATATTCTTTTCATAAGACATATGTAGACGATACTTCTTATGTTGCATGTTCTGATTTTCATTGTTAATAGTTTTAACAAGTTCAACCTTCTGCCAGCGAAATTCACAGTAAAAGCTTTATCAGTTCTTTATGAAGCAGGAAGAATCCGTTTTTTTTTAAATTCAAATTATTTTCACCCTGTTTGGGCCTGTCCAATAAAACCTCAGCCAGGTGAACGGGGGATGGCCAAATGTCATTGTTCATAAAACTGAATGGAGCAACAACCACGTAAAGGCAAAGCTTCTATGAACTGACCATAAAATTAATAAATTGTTTACATCTGAGTGAGTCTGTACTCTTTCCAAGATGCCAAAGTAAATGGATTTATCTTGTCATTCAGGCCAGAGTTAGATCAAGTCTGTGATGTTTCTGTGAAGTCTTTTTTATTTTGTTGGACACAGAAGCTGGATGGATCAGGGTCAAAAGTCAGTTGTCCGAGATTGTTTGCTGGGGAGTTAACTATGTATTTACTACTGGAGATGCATTTCTCTGCAGAGGGGCACACACCCATTCTCATTAACTATTACCAATGGCTTGTACCTCCAGAGGAAGCTTGGATCACGCAAAAATCCAAGGTACTTACTAATGATGATTTGCGCATTGCACTTTTCATCCTGAAGGCTCCCAAACGGCTTTGCAAACCTGCATACAAACCACACATAGCATGGCAGCTAGCAACACACAGCAACGGGACGGGATTGTCATGGCAGAAAGTGAAAAACATCACATGTAGGTAGGCAGAACAAAGTTACCCAAGTTGGAATTTGGCCAGGACCTAGAGGTGAAGACCCCTCCACCTAAGAAAAGTTCTAGGCAATTTTTAATGAGCCCTGGTGCTCAGGACCTTGCTTTTACGCTGAAAGATTACGCTCCAGCGGTATGGTGCCCTCTAAGGCCAGGCTGGGGCATCCTTTCAGTACTGATTCCAAGAGAAACAAATGCCCACCACTACTTCCTGCAGCACCTGGCTGTTCTTCAGTTCCCCATCCAGGCACTAACCCGGACAGCCCTGCTTATTTGGTGAGCTCTGTTGGAATTGCAGCACAAGGCGATGTGGCTGCAGGCTTTGAACTAAATGAAAGTAAAAGCATTATCCTATCACTGCAGCCAGAGTACTCAACCAACATGCCTTGCTGTAACAATCTAACTCCAGAGGATGAGACGTATATCATTGTGTTGGTGGGACAGTTCAAATGGACTCCCAGGCTCAGTACGGCTTTACTGTGGTGGTGTAGATCCAATTCTTGACCTGGCGAAGGCCTGGCTTCTTTGTTTGCAGGTGCAAAGCTTGAGTATTTGCACCTTTGTCAGGTAGGAAAGGGCATAAGTGTTCAGAGTTGTGCCTGCAGTTCAACTGTGGGTGCAAATTGTGTAGGTGTTTCCATGTGGAATTCAAGGTGGTGGTTTTAACTTAGCAGGCCCTAAAATGGTCATTTACTTGTGCAATTACTTCTCTCCCCATGACTTACTGCCACAGGTGAGATTAGCAGAGGTGTTCGAACTGGATCTCCCTCAGTTTATTTTCCCTTGGTGAAATTCAATGGCTTGCGTTTATGCAGAAGGTCAGACAAGACAATCACAAGGGGCCCTTCTGGCCTTAAAAATCAATGGACTTTTGCCATTGACCTCAATGAAGCAAGGATTTCACCCTATGAATCTATAAACATGATGAAGCTGAGTGGGGTGTTCTCTGTGAGAGGACCTGGGCTTTGGAATCCACCCCACTGCGGGCCACCAGGATCCAGATTTGTTAACCTTTTGGGCCTACTGCAAGGCCCGTCTTTTTCCTATTTGCTCTACAGCTGTTGAAGAGGGGGCTGTCTGGGGGGTTAAATTTATGGACAGCCCTTTGTTCATTATGTTTGTTTTGTCATTTTTAATTAGCGGCCAGAAGTCTGGGGCAATGGATGGTTGGAGCTATGCTTTATAAACTGAAGAAATTAAAATTTGCACTCACAAATGGGAAGATGCCCCCTCAAAAATGTTCCACTTTGTGTATAAATATAGATGTGTTCACATTTACTGCATAATTCACTGTCTATTTCTAGTTCCTTTTGCTATATCGTATACTCGTTTTGACCAAGTGGCAGAAAGGGAGTGGCGAATGATCACAAACGCTGAGCAGGCACAGAGCTGGCTAAGCCAGGTCATCTGCCTCTCTCCTTGCATCCCCTAAAGTATGGGGTATAACAAGGAGGGGCTAGAGAGGGACAGGGGCTAGAGTGTGATGCTCTCTGCAATTCCCATTTGGCAGATTGTTCCTTGGGAGCCACCAGTTTGTTAGAGTAGCCCCCTGACTCTACCCTGAGTGCAGGGCCAGGCAGCAAATGAGGGAGCTGATCCAGCTCCCAGACTGGACCCACGTCCCTGCTGTGCCCAGCAGAGAACCTGCCCCATCAAGTCTTGCTGCACCAAAGCTGTGTGGCCCCATTTACAACTTAGTTAAATGTTTCCAGAACCTTGAAACCCGGCGAACAGCCAATGTGCTAATCACATGTCAACTTTCATTTTAAAAAGTGAATGTTGGTGAGTTCCCCGCATAAAGTGGAAGGAAATAAGTAAACGGGCGGGTGCCTTTAACAAAGGGGTGACTGTTAAAAAGTGCATTGCAGCTTGGACACAAAGGGAGAATGTCCCAGTGCTGCCAGCAGCATGTTTCCAGCTCAGCTTTCAAGGCCTGGAGACAGCAGCTGGTGGTAGAAAGGCCAACGTAACCTTAGCAAATACCTGAGCAGGAAGGTGTTTATGGGGACTGATATTGTTCAACACCAACTTCCGGTGCTGTGTTTGAACTAAGCAAGAGCAAGCATCCGCACTTGTAATTGGAGGTGGCGGGGGCAGTTGCTGAACTGATGGTTCATGTACGTTCACGCTGGGGGAAAGGTGTGGCATCTGTTCAGATCCAGCTGTGTCCAAAGGAAACCGCCGTTCTAGCCAGGATGCCGCCAGGCATTTGTACAGAGGAAGTTCTCTCACCCTTCATTACTTTCAAAAGTGGGGTAGAACAAGGTGTTAAGCAGCGCAGCACTCTATGGTCTCACGCACAGCTTTGCCGATGCACCCTGATCCTAGGGTGACCAGATGTCCCGATTTTATAGGGACAGTCCCGATTTTTCACACTTGCTGTCTGGTCACCCTACCTGATCTTCACCTGCAGACAGCCCGACTAGCCTAGTCCTGGGTCACCCCCCTAATCTGGCAACACGCCTCGCTCCTCGCCTGATGTCTAATGCTAGGGCACCACCGTGTGGGGCTCTGTGACAAGTCCGTTCGACAAGAGACAAATATTATTTTTGCCACAGAAAACTCCAGGCTTCCAATGAGGGTGTGACCAGCCAGCAAGTGTGAAACACCGGGAAGGCCGGGGGTGGGGGGGAATAGGAGCCTATATAAGAAAAAGACCCAGAAATCGGGACTGTCCCTATAAAGTGGGGACATCTGGTCACCCTACTTCCCACTGCCATCTCCCCCTTTCACCCATGCAGCGCCAGCCAGAGACTCGGATCCCAGGCGAGACCACGTGTCAAGGGGGGGCGGGGGGGCGCTTCCCACATGCTTTTTGGGCCTGTTGAGAGCACTTTGCTACAAGAAACTCAGCGCCGTTTGGAACAATCGAGGCTTTACCTCGTCTCGTAACGTCCCCCAGTTTCAAGGCCAAAAGGCGCCGTTAGGCTCGGAGCTGCCTCACGTGGCCGGTCGGAGGGTCTCACCGAATGACACCTGCAGCGGGCCCGTCGGGGAACCTCATTGTAGGCAGATTTCACATCTTGAGGGAAAGAGTTGAGGGGAGGGGGGGAGCTGCCTCCGTTGCTATGGCGTTGGCAGGCGGGGCGCAGAAGCGGGCGCTCGTAGGCTCGGCGCTCGGCCTGTGCCTGCCGGCTCGGGGTCTCGGCGCTCGGCCCGCACGGGGTTTGTCCTGCGCAGCGCGGCGCGGCGCGGCGCTCTAGGCCCCGCGGGACTCGGCAGCGGCGTGTGAGGCGCGCGGCAGGATGGTGAAGCTCACGGCGGAGCTGATCGAGCAGGCGGCTCAGTACACGAACGCCGTGCGGGACCGGGAGCTGGATCTGCGCGGTGAGGCCCCGACCTCGGAGCCGGGAGCCGGGGGCGAGGCGAGGCCTTGCTCGGGGACCGGCCCTGCCCCGGGCGGGGGTGGGGAGAGGTTCGGGCCGGGTGTGTGTGTGTGTGTGTGTGTGTG